ATTTAGGATACCCCCATGCCGCAAAGGCACTATACATTTACAAACATCCATGTCTTCTCCGGGATTCGAACCCAGGCCCTCCGGTACGGCAGTTAGCTGCGCTATCCACTCTACCAGATAGGTGACTAGAACATTTGTAAAGTATGTAAATAAAATAAGAGTTTTTTCTGTATTCTTTTACATCTTTTTTTAGCTGTATTTGTCTTAGTTTTTTACTACAGCTTTCCGAAACTTTGAAGGATATTTTGAATAACCCTGTTAATAAACAATAAAGCATTTAAAACATAAACAAAAATACATTCCTATTTCACATACAAAACCAAAAACTGAGCAAAAAAAAAATAGGTTAAACACAGTTTCATTTCACTTATAAAACGTCGAATACTTAGACAAGAAAAAACAAAAATTTCCTTTCTTTCAACTTCTTCCAGGAAATTTCTCCCAATTCCGCCAAATCCCTCATTACGGGTGAAAACTCTAAGGAATCAATAATCTCAGCTGAAATAAAAATAGAAATGTGTTTCACTGTTTCCGAGCACGGGTAATTAATCTTACTCCTCAAGGACGCAGTCGCCAAATTTTTATCAGCTTTTGGCGGAAAACTGGGTCTTTGGGCAGCTGACGATATTTTTATTTCGGAACTAATTCGTGAAAAATCTGGGCGCGAGTTGTTACAATTTTTACACGAACCTATACTCAGGGAAGGGCTTGCAGCTTAGTCGAGTGGAGGAATAAGGGAGTATTAATTATGTGTTACTTATTAAGAATAAGATAAAAGTATCATTATGGAAATTGATTCTGAAGATGACACTTTTATTTATTGAGTATTTATTCAGAAAATAGAGAAGAAAATTTCTTTCCATGGTCTAAATTGCTTATTGGTCTGAAATCGATATTCTTGTCGATTTCATCACTACTGCTATCAAAGTAATGCAAAGAATGGTTTCCATTCCATTAAACCGCTAATATGTTTGGGGACATGCAGCTAAGACTCATATTAATTACAGTCGAACCTATATATAACGAACCTCTATATTGCGAATTTTTCTACATATCGAACTTTTTCCTGGAACCTTGAACATTTCACGATTTTCTTCGTAAAATAACCTCTCTATTGCGAAGTGCATTTTCTGTAGAACGAACTTTTTCTTTTGTGATTCAATTTCTTTTGTTCCCTATTTTTGAAGTATTTCTGAACATTTCAAGTTATTCTCTCTTTAACACATTTTATGGTGGCCATAAACCTTGAACTGGTTTTATTAGATCCTAGCTCGCCGAGAACAATAGAGTTCTGGACGTTTCATCCAAGAAGTGCAACCTTTAATCCCCACTGTCCAGTTCACCAGAAACTTCTTCGATATCCCCTTTCACACTCAGTTGAGTTGTTCTGTGTCCCCGTGTTCTAGATATAAAATAATGTATGTTTAATATTACTTGTATGCTTCAAATTAGAAAATGTCCTTAAAATTCATTGATTTTAATACAAAATTATTTTCTTAATAATGAAAATTCAGTATATTCTTCGACATTCTTTTTCCTTGTTTTCCTTGCAATTTTTCTTTCAATCTTTCTTTTTTTTTAATGTTAATACATATAAAATAAACATGTATTAATTTTACAAAAGTTGTGAATAATTACTTTTTTTAATAAATAGTGTTTATGAATTTAAAATTTGTTTTATGTAGTTTTTTCGCATATTAAAAGATGAACCTCTATATAACGAATTTTCCACATAGCGAACTTTTTTCAGGGATGTATCGACTTCGTTAAATATAGATCCGTCTGTATTTAGAAAGCATTCAAAGTTTAATTGTCCGGCAAGTTTTTAACGCTAGCTGGTTTATGAAGAATGTAGACCTCAGAGCCGCGAGTAAAATATCCACTATTAGCCAAACGGCCAGGAGAAATGCTACTAACTTCATTAATAAAATTGACAACTCTGACAATAAATCTATTTCTAGCATCGAAAAATATACTCCTCATCTTAATTTCCACCGACCCAGAACAATCCTAATTGATCCTGCTTTTCTTTAAGTCCTAAATATGTATTCTTTTATTTATATTATTTATATTATTATCTTATCTTTATTTATCTGAATTGGCACCATCTTCTCATAACTACCACACCAACGGAAGGACATCGAACCTTGCCCCGGAACCTCATCTACACAGTGGGTCTTCAGTGGTCCCAAGACTCGAACCAGTGACACACTGGCCATGAGTTCGTGACCATAAGGACTAGGCTATCGCTGCCACAAGGCGCAATTAAGTAATCCTATTCATAAATACAATGGGCTAAATTCATGTGACGTTATAGTGACATGATAATGCAATCCCACGTTTTCAGCCAATCTGTTCAAAAAATTTTATGAAGTCTTAGTCACATGATAAATGTAGCTATGCATTTCTAGCCAAGCAATTCATGTTCTTTCCGTTGCCAAATTTTGCTTTGTGCAGAAATTTTCTTTTAAAAAGTTTATATTTGTCAACAGTAACACACATGGGAAAACAAAATGCACTTGTGTGATTTAAAACAACTTGTATAACATAATTTTTTTTTACTTTAAAAAAACTTTTTGTTGAATCTTAATACATAAACATATATATTTACCCAATCCAAATTCGAATTTTCTTTAAATTTTACAAGGAGAAAAATAAGAACATGTGCAATGTCAGTTTGAATTCAATGAAGAACACGCGATTGTATTTATCACGTGACCATCATGAATTTAGGCTATTCGAATTATTCTGAAGAGGAGCACCTTTAATGAGGTGCTACTAAGGCCGGACCACTGATATGAAGGCTGCGTTTGGACGATACGATGCTTGCTATGCTGGAGCCTTGAAAGGTCCAGTAGTTAGTTTGAGAGAGTTCAAATGAATTTGGAAGGGAATCTGATGGAGAGTGTCTTCGTTTCACCTTTTCGTCTTGTAAAAGGTGGAATATGTCACGACTTCAAAGCGTGATGCAGAATAATTTCTGTTTGGATGTAGACGGATTACTTATCAGCCATTGGTCCTTGTCACCTCTCGTGTGGTGGACTTTGGTGCCGGAGATTGGTGTGGGAACTGCGACGGTCGCTTCTCTGTCGTCTTATATAAAGGGAGGTCAAAGCCTTGTCTAATGTCCTAACCTAAACGTCGGTATTCGCCTGTTTTGGTTACTTCCCCATTCAAAACTACGTGACCGTTGTGGGAAGTCATTGGTTCCCTAACAGGAAATAGGTCCTTTGATGAAAACTGCCGTAATAGCATATTAAAAGTAATTAATTGTTTTTTAATCTTGTAACTAATACAAAACGTAAATAAAAATGTTCCGAAACGTTTTTCTATGCTTAGAAGATTCTATTCTGTACAGCTTACAGAAACTTAGCCCCACAAAAATATCTGTTTGAAAACATCGATTTTAAGAATAAAAATAAATAAAAGATAGTTTCTTACACACAAACTCACCGGCAACGTTTCAGAGAGTTTCATTTTCATCCTCACTTTTTATTTATTTATTTATTTTAATTATCAACGAAATCCAAACTTTTTGGAAGCAGAGAAGAACTACGAAGTTTCGAATCCGCATTTATTCAAGTAGAACCTCTTTCGTCTCAAAATATCTAATGCAATCACGGTTTCCAACATCCTCACTATTGAAAGGGACAGAAAATAATAACAGTTGGAAAGAAGAATGAGAAGAAAAAGAAAAAGAAAAAAAATCCATTGAAACACCGTTATTTTATAAAACGCTCTTTCTTAATGTGGTTATTTAAATGACGTTTTAAGAATCGCTTAGATATTCCAGGCAGCTATTCCTTCTATTGTTTGTCTTCCCCTTTTCCCTTGTTTACATATTCTTAGAAAATCGCAAATTCCCTATCTCCTTGTTCCTCTATCCCTTTGTTTCGGCTTTATGCTAAGCAGGAAAAGCAGCCATATTGCCTTTGTGCCCTCCAGATTTCTTTGTGTCTTTATGATTATAGTTTCTCTTCCCGAATCTCTAATAATGTGGGTCTGTTGACGATGTGTTTCGAAGTTATCCCTATTTTTTTCCCCGAAATCTTCTTTTCTCCTTTTATTTTTCCCTGTATCCTTTTATTGTGGAATGATAGTTTTAGGAAGGTACGTTTTCTCTTTATTAATATTCTTCAGCACAAGATGCCAGGAGGTATCTTCAAGGAATTTGTTCAGTCTATTGAAAAGTAATATCAAAATGCAAGTTTGTTTTTGTGTTTCATTTTTGTTTGTTTTGATGAAGAACACTTGATTCGCTCTGTTAATAAATGAAGTGTCGTTGTAGAAATTAATAATAATGATTAAATGGACTTTTTTTCATCACATTGTCTTTATCTTAAAGATTGCTAACAACTAGGTGCAAATAGAATTTAAAGTGATACACACACTGAAGAAAATATTACGATATTTATAAATATCGTGCCACGGCTTTCTGCTTAAAGTAGCAAAATGTCTTGTTTCTAAAGAAAATATAAATATTTTAACTATAAAAAATCTTTCCTAAGGGAAAAAGTTCATACATAATCACATTTTTCATCAGTTTTTTAAAAATTATTTTTAATGCAAATCATTTTATAATAAATAATTTTTTTAATGGAATATAAAATAACTTTAAAGCAAACTTTTTAAAAATTTCGTAATTGTTTCATTTTTTTACTCAAAATGTTTAAAAAAAGGCACATTTTTTTTCTCTCAATTCCAACTATTAGTTCACATTCACCATATATATATATATATATATATATATATATATATATATATATATATATATATATATATATATATATATATATCTTGTTCAAATTTTCAGTCGTTAATAAAATACTTTTTATTCATCCATTTAAGTTCAAATACATTTTTTAAACTTGCAGTAAATGACACATGATGTTAATACAGTTTTTCCAAATATTAATTAATTCATTCAATTTAATTAATGAATAAATAGTAACAAAAATAATAGTCCAACACCATACATAAAAAGGAAAACTGCTTGCTGTATCCCTTTAACTCGATGAATAGTGTGTGTATTGGACTTCTAATCCAAAGGGCGTAGGTTCGAATCCTACCTGGGAGGGCCTAATTTCTGAGAATGTGATTTATGTATGAATAAACAGTAACAAACACAAAATAACAGCCTAACACCATATATAGAAGGGGTGGTGAACTTTTATGGATCAACATGCCATTTTTTCTGAAGTAATGTTTAATGAGGTATAGACGTGCCATCCCACAAGTACTTTTAACTTGTTATTATTGGGAAAATAAAAATAAATACTCAAAACTCTGTTTTTACTTCAAAAAAGTACATTTTGCACTGCATTGTAGTAAATGTTTTAGTTATATGTGTAATTCAAATGAAAGTAACATTAGAGTAGCTTCTGTTGTTGCAGATTAGATGACAAATAACTCTTATGATGATTGTAAGACAATAACATACGAGTGTGTTCCCTGTCACCTCGCGCAACATTACCAATAACTCGCGTTTTTTCGTAATGCTCCATAGTGAACGTTGTTATTTTCAGCTAAAATGCAAACCGCATTTTGATTAGTTGCATGAACAAAATATTGTGTCACGTGCCATCAATGGCACGCGTACCACTGGTTCACCATTCCTTATATATAGAGAGAAAATTGGGAAAATCGCTTCCTATTTTGAAACTTAATACTGTGATTCTGTCATATGTATATACATATTTATATCAATTGTAATTATTTAATAAAAAGTAACAAAAATAAAATTTTTCTTTGTTGACCTGTAAGTGGGAACTGACTTTTAAATTTTTTCTTATATTACTTGTTTATTGCATGCAATTAAATACCATACTTAATATAGAATAAGAAAATGGATGAATTTAACTTTTATTTTAAATTTTTAACTTTTTATTCCTTTTTTTTTATTTAACAGTTGTGGAATACAAAAACTCTTTAATGTTTGCTTTTTGTATGCACAATCTGCATGCTATGAGGAAATTTTCTATATCCTAGGAAATTTCTATGTTCGTACTTTTTTAAAGCGGTTGTGGGTTTTGCGTGTAAGGAAGTTTGTGGGTGTGTTTTGAAGAATAATCCAAATAAAAAGCGGACAGTTCTGAAGCTGTATATAAATTTAATTCATCCTTTCACGAAAAAGAGTTTTTTTATGTGTGTGTGTTATCTGTGTAATTTCAAAAATCACTGGTCTGAATGAAAAAGCATTACATGCAGTAGAACACAGATTTTAAGGATCTAAATTCCTGGCTTCATCAAAAAAATCCTGTCCGGAGGAAAATCATTTCAGTACCATAGTCAAACTGTATCAACTTTTCAAAACATTAGTACTAAATAATATCATCTTAAGAATTAAAAATACGAGCAAATCTAAGAAATACCAGTTGCCCGTTCAGCGTACTGGCAAACCGCGTTTAAGGGACCAAATATTAAAGTGAAGGAATAAAGAATTATAGAATGGTCATTTGAGAATGTTTTTTTTTAAAACAGAGCACAAATACACTGTAAAAGTGTGATTATAGTAACAGGAGGGTAATTGGCTACGGACCTCATAATTTTGAATCTCTATTAAATTAAGAGAACGACGCCTGAGCTGGGACCGCATTTTTCCAAACTATCATACCACTCCAAAGGGAGAACTTTGTGCCATGACAGATTAAACGTGCACCAGCCCCTCTACACAGCGTATGTTATGTGGCGCTAGAATTCGAACAAATGACACGTCGGTGACGAACTAGGGATCATGACCACTAAGTTCCTTCCACCATAATGTAATTATCACCTTACAATCTGTATAAAAAAATTATTCATCAACACTTTTTTTAAAGACATTTTGGTTTATTTTTAGTGGGTTTTTTTCATAAAAATATTTAAATCTGGGAAGAATTTAATATTGTGTAGTTTTTTTTAGATAATCTGATTTATATTATAATTATTAAAAACTACGAAGGAGAAATATTTCGTTATTTACCCTTTCATTGGTTGATTGGTTACTAACATCCCATTTTGAGACTACACTAGAGCTATCGGCGAAGGACTTGTAATTCTGAACCCCTGAAAAGTGTAAAAAATAACACCTGATCTGACACCCCACACCCCAAACTCCCACACCACACGACGAGGACTTTGAGCCTCGAGAGATTTTAAATCAGCCCTTTTACATGGCAAATCTCTTATGGTATCCACGAATAGGCAAAAACTACGTCTGGCATGTATTCCCGTCAATAATTGGTATTTACCAAAAAATTCTGTTTAAATCAAAATAATATTTAATATAACAATAATAATAAAATGTTGTTAAGCTAATATATATATAAAGGTAATAAAATAATATTTTATATATGTCTTTGTATAATTAATCTGAGATTTATTCTAGCAAGTAAATATATGTTAGGTTGTATAATTAAAAAAGAATTATAATGTGTTCTTCTGATACGTTTTTTTTTCTTTTCTTTATTGACCGAATCACTTTTTGGTGCTATGAAATATAATTTCTAAATTATAAGTTAGTTTAGTTAAGTTATTGTAAGTTATTATAGTTAACTAAGTTAAGATAATAAGTTAAGTACCTAAGTTATATATTGTAGCTTTAAATTAACTTTATTCTTATTTCTGATAATTATCCATCGAAATCTAATTATGCAACGTTTTACGACTCTATCTTCCCACTCATCTAATTCCTATGAGGTTTTTTTTCTTTTACAACTCGTATCATAATAATACATTATATGATACCATAATAAAAAAATATCGAGTAAATTATACATTAGAACATTTTTAATACATAAATAGTATTTAAGTGATTAAAACTCCATTACATCTCGATGCGGTCATTAGTCTATTTTGCAAGGGCAAAATGAACTAATGGTGGCTATTTTTGTATCACCTGTTATTATTTCTTTTTAAAAGGATTAATTGTAAAAAAATCATTGTTATAAAGATGTATTATAAATTCTGAAAAAATATTCTTGAACCCTTGAATGCAGTGCTTTGCAAACTTTCATATTTGCGACCCAATATCCAATCATAATTTTCATCACCCTCGCCCAACCTCCATACAATAACAATGTATTGAATTTTGTAATACTATTCTATGCCTTTACGTATTTAAATATTTTTTTAAATACTAAGGCTACAATACTGCTCCTACCTCTTAAGTGGCACTCACGTATACGAACGTCTCGTTCAGTCAAAGTGTTAATTGCCCCGGACGTATATATACGTCTTTCTGAAGTACGATCTTTTCTGTGCTCTGCAATCCATAAAGTTATTCCGAAGGCTTTGGAATACATTAAAAGGACCTCGACAGTGTTTGCGAAAGAGTTACTTACTTCAGAGAATATTTGCTTATTTATTCCCCCCCCATTACATCACATACGCGCGCTTACGTAAAAAACGATTGTATTGAGGAGCGAATCGCAGAACTTTTAATCGACAGTTAAGGGATTCTTTGTGTGTGTAAACCGTACAAATTATCAAGATGAGAGTCAAATTTTTGTGTATCATTTTATATATGACAAGCCCATAAGGTAACTGATATAATATTATTAAACTTTTCTTATTAATTATAAAATACATTGTGCGGTACTGATGCATTTATAAGTGTATTATATCATGGTAAGTGTGTGTTTTATGTTTTATTATGTCAGAATGTATTTTTGTTTGTTTACACTTGCAGTAAATTAATATTTTTTTAAAAATAATCTTTTGTTTCAACTTTTCAATATGTCGCGGCCCCCTCCTTCGTAGTGTTATCACACCCCTCTAAGGGGGCGCGCCCCATAGTTTGAGAGAGACAAACGCTGCTTTAATATGGTAAATTTATTTCTAGAATCTATTGGGACCTTTAAAACAGTACTCCTCGAACATAATTCTCAGTTATCATCCCTATATACAATATATATAAATAAATCTTGATGAAATCTTCACCTGTGTACCTAAGAAGATATAATCCAAACTGGAGAAATATTTATACCTTTTAATACAGCTAAAAACGTGCCTTACAAATCCCATTTCGACATGTGTGACTGCGGTAGCCTATGAATCATGGCCAGGGATTCATAGTCGGGTTCGTATCTTGACGCCACGGAAGACTCAAGATCTAGAGGAGTTGTTGCACATTAAATCTGTTGTGTCTCAAAGTCTTCACGTTGGTGTGGCGGGGATGCTAGGGGAGTGGATGTATGTCGGATTATGTGTCATCCACGTCCCTTTACTGCGGCTCTAAATTACTAGATCTGCCGCAGATAACTGTCATGGTGCTTAAATGTGACGTTAATAAACACTCACTCACACTTTTTGACACCTTACTAACGAAAAATTAGTGTCACGTTTTAAAGAACTGTTTACTCCTGTAGGATTAAAAATTGTTGATACATAATTTATTTTTTACTCTAACTTTTAAGTATTATTACCAGATATATGTGTGTCATATCATCAAAAATTAATTAACTAATGTATTAATAAATTAATTAATTCATTAAATTAATGCCGGGTGTTTTTGTCATTAATATTGTTTCAAATCTGAAATACATTAACTGTCTTCTTTACGTCTCTACTTCACTGACGAATCCAAAAAGGGGAAATATTTGTTATATGTTTTTGAGATATAAAATTTTTGTTTCTTCTAATATTTTGCTTATTTTTCAGATAATTATAACATGTTTATTTTTTTTTTTGCATCCTTAAAATTTTAAAGTATTTTTTTAAAAAAAGATTATTTTACTATTAAATTATTTGTGCCCCATAACACATTGTAACATAGGAGAGAAAATAAGAAATTTATTAAGCACAACTAAAACTTTATTGATCCAAACATAAATGAAAAGCATGGTAAAACGTGCTGCTTTCTATAGTATAAAGAAGTTGGAATACAGTCATATTGTTAGAGTATTTTACAACGTAATTAATTACGACGAATTTAATTCTTTGACATCTGCCTGTGATAGCATAACTTAACCCATTAAACATCTGTTTTGGTCAAAGTTTTGGGTTATCTTCCAAGCAGATTTTAAAAACCCAAACAGTTTCTTCGATGTAAGCAGATATCACAAATTAATTTTATTTCAATATAGCTTTGTCTTTGTA